AGAGAGAGAGAGAGAGGATCATGTCAGCAAAATTTGGGGCGCCCCGGCGGCTCTGGATCGGTCATCAAAATTTTCAGGAATGGATCTTATTTTAAATCTAAAAATAAATAAATAAATAAATAAATCCAGAGTTTGAGACAAAGAAGGAAGAAGTAAATATACTTATAAAGATGGCTGAAAAATTAAGAAAACTTTAACATATGAGGAAATGCAACGCATTACCTAACTGTGAACAAGAACTCGATGAGCTTTGTAAGAGAGGATCACATTCCACGCCAAAGCGATGAAATTAGCGGCGAGAACCTGATATAAAGTATCAAACATTGATGCAATTTTCATCATGCGTCTTCACTGAATTTTAGTTCCTTTTTACTTATCCGTCGCCAAATCCAAAAAATATATATATACTTTTTGAAATATTAAAATCAGAGTTAGTAACTAAAGTAGAGATGTGTTTTTTCACATATAGAAATGATAACCCCAAGCACAGTTATGTTGCGGAATGAAGAACTTCAGGGTCATGGGTTCAAACACACACACACACACAGTTGGGGGAGGGGAGAGAGAGATTACCTGGAATTGCTGAGGAACATACAAAAAGTTCAGGAATTGAAAAGGAATCCATAGTTGCCAATTTGCCAATATTGTGGAAAACCACTCCTGCAGTCAAGGAAAAAGAAGAAGAGCAGAAGAGAAAACCCAATTAATTCCATAATGATAATTAGAGAAAATTTGAGGCACCAATGTTGCCTACTCATTGCTGAAGACTATGAAGCAGTATTACCTGACGAAGCCTTGGTACAACCTCTGATGGCCTTCCCTCAAGGGTCACAATTGTCGACATGAAAAACCCAATGAAGAGGGGAGAGAAAAGGAACTGATCCACAGAAAAAGGTTATCATGTATAACAAACAAATCTCCCTCTCTCTCTCTCTCTCACACAAACACAAACACAAACACAAACACAAACACAAACACAAACACGCACACGCACACGCACACGCACACGCACACGCACACGCACACGCACACGCACACGCACACGCACATGCACACGCACACGCACACGCACACGCACATACACAAAAGATTTGATTGAATAATTTTTTTAGAAAATACTCACTTGATCGAGCAGAAGACGCAATAATGCACCGGATCCACCAGGTTGAGTAACCAAATTACTCAATTTCAGGTACCTATGACCTCACCAGAAAATTTTTAAGAGTTCAAGAACTTCAGATTCTAAGTTAAATAAACTCTATTAGAGCTTTTTTCTTTTTTGTTTTTGATATGCAATGTTAGAGCTTGAGCTGCAACTCCCAGTTGTTTAGCATAATATTTTCATAGCAATTCAAGGACATGAAAAAAGAATAGTCACATTCAGTAGGAAAAGAAATCAAATGAGTGGTGATATTGTAGTTGTGCAATGAAGAGTACCCCATCAATATGAAGTTAATGAATGAGTTTCGAGTCCTGACAGCAAACTACCTAGAAAATTAATGTCAATTACTCAGAACCAACTTTCATTTTTATTTATTTATTTATTTATTTATTGTCAACTGATTGTTAATACCTTTTTTGGAGAAAAATTTATTGTTACATCTTAGGTGGAGAAGTACAAGACAAATTTCCCCTTAAATCTATTCCATTATTTGGTAATCGTTATTTTGTCTATCTAATCGGTTAACGATAATAAGAAGATACTTCTCTGACATTATTTTTGCCCCGACCTCAAGGTAAAGGATAACCTCGCCCCATATTTCTTTAACTAAATTGATTCAATCAATATGATCCATGCAACAATATGATTGGTAGCACATGACCTTCCTGACGTTTCCCTTAGTAGTAGTCAAAAGTGGTGAGAGGTATGAGTTTCAGGCACACCTCTCGTGCCTCAAAACATAGGAAAAGAAGCAAACTCGTACAGAATTACCAATAGCGCATGAGAAAGATATGGATCATTTTGACATATCGGTTTCATGCCTTGGAGAGTATGTCTTAGGTGAGGCCTATTGTGGGACCTGATAGGTGCAAGTCTCCCCCTAGGTATTGGATTAGTCAGTAAACTATGTTTAGGATCCTTTGTCCTCTTTGTTTACAATAGGATCTCTTTCCCTTTGGCCACTAAACCGACAAGATGGTACATCCTGCAATGGAGCTGAATGTTATGCACTCAAGAATGGACGTGGTCCAAATAGAAATTCGACGATCTATAGACAAATCATTAGAGCCTTGGAGTCTTGTTTATCTCACCATGACACCTCCAGATAGTGCCTGAACATTGTCAGCCAGTTTGTCCCACATCTTCAGCATTTTTAAAATTTCATTAGTTATCCATCATGTGCAATGAACTATCAGTCATGCTTTAAAGTGTGCATCACCATCTTTCTTGGATATTCTTGGATGTACACAGAAAAACATTTCAATTAAAAAAAGGAAAATAAAAGACACAAAACCAAGATGTGTCCACCATGTTTGGATCACATTAACAACGAAGCTTGTTTTTGCAAGCGGATCACATGGTAATTTCATTAATACCCCTGACGCAACTGAAGCACAGTAATAATGCTTCTTAATATCCCTTCAAAAATATCTATAGATCATCAACGTTCTTTCTTTCTGTAAAAAACATCTGATCTCATTTGCCTCTTCCCCCATGCTAAGCCCTCAGTAAAGAGAGTTCTAAGGCCCCAAAATTGTATAAAAAGGGAACAAGTTACATAGAATCCTCATCTAGGAACTGTATGTTCCAACAAGCAAGTTGCAAGAGAAAATGAACGTGATGATAATAAAAGACGGGTCTCTGAAATAGTTAAATGATCAAGTATTAAGCAGTGATGCTAAGACTGGACCAGACCCTAGATGGCAGGTCCGGGCCGGTGGCCATTCCAGTTGGTCCGAACCCCTTGGACCAGAGTGGCCATCGAACCGGCCTTGAACTGGTGGATTGCCTGGTCCATATTTGGACTAGCCAATCCATCGGTTCAGCACTGAACCAGCCGGTCTTTATTTTGCACAGGAAAAGTGGTGAAAATGCCCTCATTTTTTTCTGCAATTTTTAACTTTTTATTGGATTATTTCATCCTTTCAAAATTAACAAGGGATATTTTGGTAAAAAAAAATATTAGGGTGGGTTTTTCGGTTTAAAAAGCACTTTTCTAGAGAGAGAAAACTTTGGCAATTCTCTTCTCTCGCTCTCTTTTGAAAAAAATCCTAGCATTTCCAAGCATATTCTGGCCACTCATCCTGAAGTTTACTGCTCCCAAACAAGCCCATTTGATTGTTTTTTTCGTTTAGATTTCAAAAAAGTAAGAAAAAACCGAAAAAATCAGTTATTTTTAGGGCTCTTACAAAAACTAATTTTTGGCAAATTAATTGTGATGGTTTGTTTCTTGCATCCATTCTAAAGGGTTTTCTTTGTTACAATAGTTAAATGTTGTAGGCATTTGCTTATTTAGTACATTTTGTGCATTTCTTTTGATATAATTTTTTGTTTTTTTGGTTTTCTATTTCAAGTATTTGTCTTCTTCTTTTTTGGGGGTTGTTTAATACTTCATACATGGAGATTGTTCCTTAAGTTATTATTTTGTGCATTTATAATTTTTTCTCATGTGACTTTATGACCTTGCCTTCCATATGGAGTGTTCACATAGTTTATTTTATCTTGAGACTTCATGATCTTTTGCCTTCAGTTTCATTGCTTGGTTATTGGCCTGATCATAACATACGGACTGTGTGTTATTATCCTAGTTCCCGATATTTCTCTGAAAATTTTCTTATTTTTCCATATTCTTCTGGATTTTCCATATTTTCTCTATTTTTCAATATTTTATTTTTCTATTTTTTTTAAGTTATGACTGGATTGATGGGTGAACTGGTTGGGTCAGACAGAACAGGTGCCCGCACCTGTTCGACCTCCAGTCCAGTCTTAACAACATTGATATTAAGATCTCAGCTCACTACATCCAAGCAATATTCACAGTATAATTTTCTATACATACAGATCTCAGAGACTTACCAGAAATGCAGAGTAGGTCCCACCAAGACTAACCCCAATAGAGTGAACAAAAAAGTTCGCTTTGAATCCAACACCGACACCTTTTCTATCAGTAACTAGCAACACAAACCAGTTATATGAGTTTGGAGTTCCTCGAATGGAAATACTCACAAGAGTCATGGGAAATAAGATTAGAAGGAAGATTTTTGCTGTATATAGCTATTCCCTAATGCTACATGGATCATGGATGCGGAATACCAAAAGACTAACAATTTTGGAAATTATTTTCAACAAGATAGATTCATAACCCATTTACAATCCGAAAGAATGATAAGAAAGAAGTTGAGGGATGGAGGGCAGATGAGGCCCACATAGTTCAAACACCTCAAGTGACAACTTCATCACATAGTTGAAGCTGCAAATTGGTAATGGAGGATTTCGGAATGCAATACAAAATTATAGAATAAAAAGTATTTGATATAAATGAACAAAAGGAATAGTCATGAACTTTCAATGAGCAGACATAAAGAGCGATAAGCTTACATGGTGTAACACCAAAGATGTTAGTAGTTATACATCATGTCTGTAGTAATGACCAACAAATGGATATGGAAGTCTCTTCAGGAAGCGATTGGACAACTTCAGGAGCAAACCCCAAATACCACATTTGGATCTGTACATGCATACACAAGCCAACTAATTTGCAAAACTATTAGCCTCAGTAGACATAAGAGATAAGTGTGTTATTTTAGAGCTTTTCATTGTTGCACTTTATGCAATCTTAGCTATTTTCACTCCTTTCCATGGAGTAATTATCGTCGAGGGCTTTCCCTGTTCAAGCATGTGTAAAGATCAACTCATAAACTGGAAAAAAACTTCCTCCTTATGTCATGGTAATAGAGTGCATTAAATTCTCAAATGAGCTTAAGCTACTTTGTCAACCAAGATTGAAAGCAAGCCACACAATCAAGACTACATTCAACCACCCAATAGTTTGAGCCATTGTGCTCTCTCTCCCCCACCTCTCTCATATATCAAGCTCACTGTCGAAGTAGAGGGGGACGAATGGAACTTCCCTAAGATGGGTTTTTAGGATATTGTTGTGTGAATCCAACAATTGACTTGGGTGAATGAGAAAGAAAAATGGATTTCACAAGTGATTGGAGACCCAATACTACCAAAGCTTCTTGTGTTTAGGGTACACACACACACACACACACACACACACACATATATATATATATATATATTAAAAGTAAAAAAGATCAGACGGTCAACAATCCCTCACAACTGGGCAACTGGCTAATTCATAAAGGTAATGAAAGTAATCAAGTTAAATTTTTTTATTACGTTTTTAGGAGGTTATTCATTCTTGATAACCATGTAGATGGCGTTTCAAATGCCACTTGGAATAACAACAAATAGACAATAAGACAAGTTAGGACACATTTTATTTCATGGCATGACAGTTACAGATGCCATTTGCAACCAAAGCCAATAAATTTCCTTCTTCATCCAAGCAATCAGGAGCAAGTACATAAATATTTTTGACGAAGAAATATAAGGAAAAGTTTATAACATTCATTAAAGGACGCGGTTTCTATGCGGCCAAGCCCGCATATGTAGAAATATGGGCATCTCAATAAATCTATTTTTGAGATGGATTTTAAGACTTAATTTTTAAGGACATGTAATCTCTAACATGGAGATCATGAATATGAAAAAATAAATAAATTTAAAAAACTAGAAATAATGATTCTAGTAAAAAAATATTTGGACCGTTAGTTTCCATTGTTTTTAGATGGAACACTACTATAATCCATCATTAAGATGGATGCTTTACACTTTCTAGACAGCATATGTAGAAATGCGGTCCAGCCCGCATGAAACAATTTTCCTTCATTAAATATAAAGAACTGCTATCATCATGATCATTAGAGCCTTTCCCCAACTAGTTGGGATCGGTTACATGAATCCTAATCCACCATACTACTCTATAAAGGGTCATACGCTCAGTGAGATCATAAATCCTCATATCTTTTTTCACTACTTCCAACCAAATCCTTTTGGACCTATCCCTTGTCCATTTCGAGCCTTCCACTTGAACCAACTCGCAACCATTTGGGATCGGTTACACAAATCCTAATCCACCATACTACTCTATAAAGGGCCATACCCTCAGTGAGATCATATCCCCTATCTTTTTTCACTACTTCCAACCAAGTCTTTTGGGCCTATCCCTTGCCCTTTTCGAGCCTTCCACTTGAGCCAACTCACACTTCTTAACTGGTGTTGTACTAGGTCTGCGCTGCACATGGCTAGCCCACCACCTAAGTCTACTTTCTCTCATATTATCGCCTATTGGAGCCACACTTAAGTTCTCCCATTGTACGCACTTTGAATTCTATTCCTTCTTGTCTTGCAGCTCATCCATCTCAACAATCCACATCACAGCTGCACTCATCCTATGGGTATATTGTTTTTGGATCGCCAACATTCTGCCACATAAAGAAAAACTATATAGAACCGATAGAAAGAAAAAAAAAGATAACGAAAACCATAAGTTAACAACAAGGGAAAACATAATAAACACACAAATAAATACGAATAAATTAACCTGCAGTAAGTCTAAGTGATAGATATTTACAATACTAGCTTAACAGAAACATCCAAAGGGCAAAACTATACATTCTCACCATTTGGGAAAAGAAAACAAATTACCAGGGAAAACATATTAAACACACAAATAAATACGAATAAATCAACCCGCAGTAAGTCTAAGTGATACATATTTCAATAAACAATACTAGCTTAACAGAAACATCCAAAGGGCAAAACTATGCATTTTCACCATCTGGGAAAAGAAACCAAATTAATACATCTATTATAGATCACTAAATGGAAAAAAGAAAGACCTGGCAAACCAAATCTCCTATGAGTGTTAGTAGTGCAGATGTTAGGGCCTTTGTATACACTGGATATTTCTCAAGTAACATCAAGTACCTGCAAACCAAATTACAACATTTGTACCCAATCATACTCCTAGTCACAGCCATTGGAGAAAATCAAATTGAAATGTTGCAACCAAACCTTAAGGCCATAATTTTCTTTAATCTGTTGCAATAATAATAATATAATAATGATAATAATAATAATAATAATAATAATAATATATTATAGGGACAATATTAAGATGCTTTATTAGCAGATATAATATCTTGTTCCCACAAAAGCAAAAAAAAAAAAAGTGAATTTCTCAGAAATGCACAATAAATGGAACCATTTATATGATATGATATCCTCGCCCCCCCCACCACCTCTCCCCCACCTCCAACAAAAAAAAACAAACAAAGAAAAGAAAAACTTTTAAGAAACTAATAATCCATTTGAACCCCAATTTTACCTCTCTGCAAGAAACAGTCACTAGCTATTTGACGAGAGTCATTTCAAAAAGTAACTTAACGATAAATTTGGATACGAAAAAGAAGCTCTATGAAAGTATACAGCTGCAAATACCTCTCTAATAAGGAACAAATCAACTCATCCAAAATCCAAATATTTTCAGTAGGCATACAGGATATAAGTAAAAAGAGAGAAAAAAAGGAAAGACACATCAATGGAATCACCATGAAAGCAAGGACCGACTGTTCTCTCCACCTTCTCCTTCATTTCTTCCGCCTGAACTACCACCACCAGAACCAGAACCCCCAATACCACCATTACCCCTACTCTGAGCCCTTATCAAATGCCCATTGTGAAACGGCTTACAAGATAACTGGTTTTGGCCCATCTTCCGAACCGCAAAAAACCCAGACCCAAAACCACTGATGGGCTTCGAATTTAGAGAAATTCTGCAGAAATGGTGGGAAGAAGAAGTGGGTTTTGAGAGAATAGATGGAGAGAGGAAGGGGAAATGAGATTTACAGAGGAAAGATGAGAAAATTTTAGCCATTTTCGCCTTATTCTCGAAGAATAAAGAATTGCAGAGCTGCAGAGGCTGTATTGCGTAGCTTCAAATTCTTCGATGAACGAGGCTCCATACTATATATGCGAAAACATTTCCTACTCGCGTAAGAGTATACTATCTATTTACTCCCTCGATATGACTACGGGTTGCAACGCGTCAGGTTGGGACGGTTCCGGGTCTGGTTGGACCGTGATCCAAGCAAAAAATAAAAATATTTAAAAATATTTAATTGTTACGTTAAGTTTATATTAATTAAATATTATAATTAAAAATATATAGTTATATTTATTTAAATAATAATTAAATATTATTAAAATATTATATATTGACTATTTAAAGGGTGTGGTTTGTATAGAGATGAGGCTCTAAACAATCAAATTAGATACCACCTTCAAATTCAAATAGTGTTGAGTAGTGTTTTAAAAAACGGCGAGCCGGACTCGCCTGATTTGACTCGAAAACACGCGTGCCCGTGCCGGTTCCAACTGAAAATCGGGAACCGCCTAGTTCTCGAGTGGAACCGGGGGTTTCCATTCGGTCCAGCCCGATTCTAAACTGGAACCGCCGGTCCCCATTCGGTTCAGCACGGTTCTAGAGTGGAACCACCGATTCGCATCCGGTTCAGCCCGGTTCTAGAGTGGAACCGCCGGTTCCCATCCGATTCAGTCGGGGTTCTACAGTGGAATCACTTGTTCCCATCCGATTCACACACATAACACATGACACGCACGTGCAAGCGTGGCCCACGCACACTCACATGTGTACACGTGTGTCCGAGCGCACATGCGAGCATGCCCCAGCACACTCACACATGCACACGTGTGTCCACGCGCACATGCGAGGTTGCTCTAATATTTTTATACATATTTTACAATTCATATTGCATAGGTATTTAT